CAGAAAAGTGGGTGAAGGGAGATGTCGGACAGGGCAAGATATGGCAAAATAATAATTTATAAATTATCAAGGGCTCATGAGGGAGGGGGAAGTGGGGAGGGAGGGGGAAAAAGAGGACCTGATGCCAGGGGCTTAAGTGGAGAGCAAATATTTTGAGAATGATGAGGGCAATGAATGTACAAATATGCTTTACACAACTGATGTGATAAGAGTTGTATGAGCCCCTAATAAAACTATTAAAAAATAAATTTCATTATAAAAAACAAACAAACAAACAAACAAAAGGATCAGTAGTAAAGGAGCTACCATGTAAGATGAATCATTATGGTGTCTGGCTCTTCACTATGCCTGAAGGTTATCTGTAGGTAAAAGAGCAATCAGGTTCTCTAGCCAAGCAGCAGCAAAGTGTAGCAACCCCCTGGGGAGGGCTCAGGGGGCTTTGAGGTCAGCTAGCATCCTGTCAAGATGATGACTCACCTCGTTTCTGGTTTATTATGTTACCTGCTTATGATATTACCCACTGACTATATAATATGTTAGCTGTATTACATGCACACCTTATGAAAGATATGTAAGCCCCATTATATATACCCACTGGAAAATACATTCACTCTCTTACTCCTGACATGGGGATGAGGAGCCCCTGTGTCCCATTGTCTGTCTGTCCATCTATATTATTTTCCACAGCCACAAAGTCGCTCCTGAGGACCCATTTGAGTGTTGGGACCCCTGCAACCCCACAGAAATGCACAAGGACAGTTCTGCTTATAGGGTCGCTATGAGTCAGCATCTACTTGGTAGCAGTGAGGCGAGTGAATGGCAGGGTCGTGTCTTATGAATTGGTCTGTTAACCACTGTGTGAGCAGTTCAAAGCCACTGACCACTCTGAGGTAAAAAGATGGGGCTTTTTGCTCTGAGAAAGATTTATATCCTTGAAACGCATAGGATCACAATAAGTTAGAATAAGACATGATGGTGGTCAGTTCTGGTCAGCTATTACCAGTCAATGTACAATAGCATGATAGAGAAAGATTGAAATATCGTGAGAAATGATGTGAGAGAGAGACATGAGTGGAACACACACTACTGGGGAAAAAAAGATGCTCTCTGCTTAGCAAGGCTAGAAACTTCCCATTTGTGAAGGGAAAAAGTACACGATCTGCAAAGTATAATAAAAGGAAATGTAATCATAGGAAGCATATCTACATCTTATATTTTTAGTTGCGGTGGCATTGCTAGGACCTTTGCAGCATGATAAAGTGCTATCAAGGCCGAGCTTGCTAATGCATGGGCTGCGCTGCACCTCCAGGGCTGCAGTTCCCATTTGTGTCAGCTCGGGTACACACTTTTCGTTTTTGATGTCCTCAGCATGCTCAAATTTAAAACTGAAATGAACAAGCAAAAAACAGAAAAAACACCTACATCATAAGGATTAAATGAGATTATACAAAGGGATGCCAAAAAATTCATGGAAAATGAAACTAAACAATTATGGAATTTTCCCCTGAACTTTTTTCTTTTTAAAATCATTTTATTGGGGCTTGTACAACTCTAATCATAATCCATACATACATAATTTGTGTCAAGCACATTTGTACATTTGTTGCCATCATCATTCTCAAAACATTTGCTTTCTACTTGAGCCCTTGGTATCAGCTTCTCGGTGTTTTTTTCCCCGCCTCCTTCCCCCTTCCCACTCCCTCATGAACCCTTGATAATTTATAAATTATTATTATTTTGTCATGTCTTACACTGTTCGACATCTCCCTTCACCCACTTTTCTGTTGTCCATCCCTCAGGGAGGAGGTTATATGTAGATTCTTGTCATCAATTCCCCCTTTCTACCTCATCCTTCTTCTACCTTCCCGGTATCGCCACTCTCACCACTGGTCCTGAAGGGATCATCTGTCCTGGATTCCCTGTGTGGTGCTCGGCTATCAAAAGATATAGCATCTAGGGTCTTAAAGGCTTGAAGGTAAACAAGCGGCCATCTAACTTAGAAGCAACAAAGCCCACATGGAAGAAGCACATCAGCCTGTGTGATCATGAGGTGTCAAAGGGATCAGGCATCAGGCATCAAAGAACAAAAAATAAATCATTGTGAATTAGAGTGAGTGCGGAGTGGAGACTCAAGACCCATCTGTAGGCAAATGGACAGCCCCTTACAGAAGAGTTGTGGGGAGGAGA